GAAGACTGAGATTGAACCTTTTTCCATGGTGGGACAAAGGGAGATGGGAAATTAGAAACCCAGGGGCAGCTTCTGTTCCCACCTGAATAAACCTTGCCACGTCACCACCTCTGGTGCATGGATCCTTGGAGTGTTTTCCTCGTCGTCCCATGGAAGAGCCTGATTCCGACCTACAACACCACTGCTCTGGTTTCATAGCTTCATGGTGTGATACAAAAGCTCCTCCCTTAAGTTCATATCTATTAGGCCTTCAATCTTTCAGTTCATTAACTCACTTGAGCACCATTTATTCAAATCTCATTTTTTAAGTACTCACACAGACAGGTACACATTACAAAGATTATTTTAAAGCTGTTCTGGGATCCTTTCCAATAGTTGTCCCACACACGCCCAAACACATTTGTGTCTCCATGTAATGATCAGTACCTATTTTTAAATGCTTATTTCCAGTATACACAAGCCATTCATAAACCTCATCACTGATGCAGAGCGTGTCATATTTGATGCAAAGGTTAGCAATTACTTGGAGTTCCTCTTTGGTGTACACCTGTACATATTAAACAAACAAGAGCATAGCAATTATTACTCAATGTGTGAGCAAATGCTGGATCAGAAAACTACGTAAGGAGTTTATAAAACTCACTTACTTTGCCAAAGGGGTTATGTGGAGAATTTAGTATAATAGCTTTGGTTTTGGAATTAAATTTACTGGCCAGTTCTTCAGGATCCAATGTCCAGTCAGAACTGGACCACTTTTTCCCCATCAATACGTTTCTAAGAATGAAGAATGAAGATGTGATTTAATTAAATTAAATCATGTTTGCTGTTTTATGAATAAATAACTTAATAAATAAAAAATTAGAGAAAAGTGTGCCAAATATAACTGAATAAATGACTAACAAAAAATAAACAAAAATAACTAAGCCTTCAGAGCCCAAGAGGACTTGAATCTCATGCTCACACCTGTTAAACAGAAAAATGAACTTTGTCAATACTAATAGTTGTTAAGGTGCCTATATTCTTTCAAAGGGGACAGCTATAACCATGGTTAACATGTCTCATACTATAAGACTAGTAGGAAATTCTAGGAGTCACCTTAGTGTATTACTTATTTTAATATGATTTTTAAAAAAGACAATGGTACTATACTTTATTACATTGCTAAAGGTAACAGTAGAACAAGAAAAAGTCACTTTGTTCAGAACTCAACAAGCATTTACTGAGCACCCAGCATCCCTCTGCACTGGGGAGCAGTGCTATAAACATGAGTCCGAAGTGGGCTCTACCTGGTGGTGCTGAGTCAGTGGGGGAGACACATGAAACACGAAAGACAGTGCTACATGCATGTGGATGCTAATGTAACAGACACACATGGCAAACATGTGATAAAGCAATAAAATGTGCGCCCTCTTAACATAGTCATTGACTAACTTCTGTCAAAGTAGAGATAATATATTACATACCAAAATGTAATTAAAGTAGAAATGTTATTGGCAACAAAGTAATTGGTATTTTCAAAATTTCTTAAAGCATGTGAATGGTACTGACGAACTTACAGATCTTAAAGAAATAAAAACAGTTGTTCCTCCGGCCATTCTCACCATGGGCTCATAGCAGTCATAGAAAGGTACTATCACTATGACCTGAAATAAAACCAAATGAGAACACAACATATCCATCATTGATTCATTTAACAAGACTGTGTAACTACTGTGCATGAGGCACTACTACATGCCAAGGTGCAGAGTGAAAAAAAGCAGGCTTGGCCTTCAGGGAATCTAACGTGGAGTGGAAGACACCCTGGGGATAAACTTATCTGGAGCCTTAATTGGAGTCATTGATCTCTTAGGGAGATTTATAGATAGGCTTGCAGAAGGGACCCTTGGAATTGTATGCAAAGCTTTTTATGTGCATAGGTAGATTTTTTAGGGGGAAAGGGCCACAGCTCTCATCATATTCTCAAAGGGATGTTCCAGCCAAAAACATGGAGTTTATTTAACTTTCAAGTTAGAAAATAAAATACCAAGCCCTGGCTGGCATAGCTCAGTGGATTGAGCGTGGGCTGCGAACCAAAGTGTCGCAGGTTCGATTCCCAGTCAGGGTACATGCCTGGGTTGCAGGCCATGACCCCCAGCAACTGCACATTGATGTTTCTCTCCCTCTCTCTCTCTCTATCTCTCTCTCCCTTCCCTTCCCTTCCCTTTCTAAAAAATAAATAAATAAAAAATCTTTTAAAAAAAAAGGAAAAAAAAAGAAAAAGAAAATACCAGAGGGTGACAGAAACCAGGTGATAAAGAGAACACTGCAATGCTCTCTGTTGTGGAGTCCTAATTTATAAGTAACTTCTTGAAATTAAAGATGCTTCTCTTTTCTCAAAAGCATCTTGAAACGGTGGATGCAGGGGGGACTGGTTAGGATACCATCGTTATGATCTGGGTACCATATCTTCCCATGACTTATATCTGGATTCTGTCTCTTTCCTAGTCCCTGGAATGCACTCCTGGTCCCTTTGGCCCCTGCATGACCTCTCTCCCAATCACTCATGGTCAGGTCAGTGAGCCAATCCCGTCAGGCCAGCCAGCATCCCTCCCACAATCTGCCAGCCTGGATCTAGCATCCTGACATTTTGCTTTTCTATAAGGAGAGCTTGAATACTCACTTTATAACCATTATATACATTCAACTTTTCTTTCTTTTTTTTAAACCCTAGCAATATTTCACAAGGATTTTCATATTATTAGTTTTAGTATTTATTATTTTAATGGCAATTTGAGAGCCTATTGAATTCTAGAATTTTATCATTTGCTTGTATAAATAACAATGCTATGTCCATTTGTAAGTATAGTTTCTCTTTTTTAAAATAGTTTGCTGAATAAATTCAGAAGATTGTTTTGCTAGATTAAAGGGTATAAACACCCTTATGGCACTTCCTATATACAGCCAAACTGCTTTTGAAAAAATCTGGCAACAACTATTTATAATTTCACAGGTCAACACAAAGATGTCTTACTAAACTTTATGTTGGTTAAATTAATGGTCCCTAATTATTGTTCTAAATTTGCAGTTTTTACTGTTTCTATTTCCTATGATGTGAAATACCTGTCCAAGTTCTTTTCTCTTTGGCATCAAAAGAGGCCCTTCATTCTTACGCCCCTTTGCTTGTCCTAGTCATTCAGCTTTCATTGCACACCTACTATCTCATGTGCCATGTTGAGGTGGTGTATTGTGGAGGACAAAGATGAACCAGGAAATGATCTTTCCCTCCAGTGGACTGCAAAGTTTTTAATTAGTCTGCGAAAATTCTCAGAAACTAAGATGACCTATCTTTGCAACCCTGGTGAGAAACAGAGTGCCTGATATGGAAGGAGAGCTCAAAGGAAAGGAAACTACATTGGGAGGCAGAACTGAGGTAGAACTGAGAAAAGGTACTTACACACTTCCCTATAATTTCTTCATTGTTACAATGGAAGTAATCCCCTCCCTTTGTGAAGAATAGTTCCTGAACACTCACTATTTTAGGTGCTGGCAGTACAGCAACAAACCAGTTCTGGAACTCACGTTCTACTGAGAGAGACTTATAATACTCAAGAAAATGAGGAAGTAAATTGAATAATTTCAGATAGTATTCAATGTTATAAAGACAGTAAAACAGGTCAACATGCTAGAGGGTAACTTTGTGTGTGGTTTCAAAATATTAGATAAAGTGATCAGGGAAGAAAGGGTTAGAGAAAAGGAGGCAGAGGGTCTGAGCCTCGGCACTCCAACAGGGCACAGAGAAGCAGAAGCAACAAAGGATTAATGATGTCAAGGTCTGAGGTGAAATTTCAACTCTTTTATAGGAGTAAAGGATATTTTTTATATAAAATTATGACTGTACTTTCTTAACATGTTCTCTTTAGCTTATTGTCTAGCATAATACAGGCAATGAGATATAAAACAATATAACTCAAAGTAATAGTGATGTTTTTTTTAATGAAAAAAGTACAGATAAAGTGCTATGAGAATTCAAAGACAGGAATTAACAATATAGATCATGGTGAGCATTCATCCTTCAGGCCCGGCTTAAGCAACGCCTCTCTGGAGCCTGGCAGATCTACGTGGCAGAGCTGATCGCTTCCCTTTGTCACCACTACAACTCAGTGCACCGCTACTGACAATCATGCTGCATTCCTCTTAATCTGTTTATAGGTCTGTCTCCTTTACTTGACACAGAGTTCCTTCCGCGTATAAACTGCCTTTTAAAAATCTCCTTTCCCATAGTGCCTAGCATAGAGGAGATCCTTAATACTTTTTGAATAAGTGAAAGAGGTCAGAAAATCCTGAAGCCAGGGGTATTGGAATGATAATGGAAAAGTAGGGGCAGAGCTGACTGAGCTTGGTGCCAAAGAGGATCTTACATCGCGAGACTAAACAGCAGAAAGTACTCACCCTTCCTATTATACATTCCTCACACTATCCTGCTAATGATACTTGGCTCAAAAGGACAGTAACCAAATACTTGTTGATTGAGTTCAGATTAAAGGTGGTTTTAGCAGTGAAAACTAAGATTAATTTTCCTCATCATTGCTGGCCCCTTCCACCTGCTCTTATCTAAATAAGCTGTAGAAATAAAAAAATAAAGTATGTACAACAAAGATGGATGAATCTCACAGACAACATAAAATCCAGATTCAGGAATACACACCCTATGACTCTGTTATATCAAGTTAAAGAGCAGGTGATAGCAGACAGAAGAGTGAGTACCTCTGGGGGAATATAGACAAAGAGAGGGCAAAGGGGCGAGGAAATGTGTATCTTCATCTCGTTTGTGGTCACATGGGAATAAACTCACACACATGTAAACATTTATTGTACATTTAAGATTTGTGAACTTTGATGCATATGCACTATACTTCAAAAAATAATTAAAAAATAAGAGAGCATAAAATAAGTAAAAGATTCAAAGGCAGGACAAATGATAATGATGAAAACAGGCAAATGATCATGTTAACACACTTACTTCATCCCCCCTCATTGATTAACCCTTGAACGGCATTGAAAAGAGACCCATAGGCTCCTACTGTAACGAGGATTTCTTTATTCGGATCGATCTGATTTTCATAAAACTTTTCATATAAGCAAGACAGAGCTTTCACAAGTGATGGATGACCCTGTTGAATAAAACAGAAGAAAAAAACTTGAGTTATGGAACCTAATTCTTTAAAATAATTTAGTTCTAAATGTGCAAGAATTTTTTAAAAATACAGGTTTTATGAATACCCAAAGAAGATATGTACTTTTAATTGGCAGTTAATTAAAATTTTTTTTCCTACATTCAAAGGTTCCCATATGAATGACTATGAAGACTTGTCAATGACTGAAAACTTCCTATGACGTGACTGATTTTAGAATACTAAATATCAAATTATTTGTTTTGAAAAAAATTGACTTCAACATCAAATATATTTGGGGGTATAGATAGTAAATTTTGATAGTAATCAGAGCACATTGACTTTTTGACAGTAATTAAGTCATATTGAATGGAGTTAGATATTTTTCCCAGATAAACAGAGCCAAAAACCTGTATTAACTATGTATCACTTGATTCTGTTGTTCCAGGTTGCAGGAGAGAGGGTTATTCAAACCCATGGACTAAGAAGGGACAAAGCAAATTCACCAGAGCAATGCACATTAGTGTCAATGTGCTAACAGCAGATGCAAGGGAGAAGTGGAACACTATTCCTATTGACAGCCCAGAGAGCAATAGTCACCCAGGAGAACACTTGAAACACGAGGGACCGAGGGGACTGTGTATGCACGAAGTCTGAGGTGTGGGGAGGCCTGACTTCTTGATTAGCCCTTCCTCAGTCTTCTATTCCGTTTTCTTCTGTTCCCTTCTCTCCTTCTCTTTCTTTTCCCTCTCTTTCCCCCTCCTTGTGATTTTAGGTATTAAAGTCAATATTTATTTTTTTTCTATCCAGCATTTACTTTCCTGTTTTGCTTTTGGGGAACCACCCTGATTTTCAGTCACATGTCAATAAGCGTCCAAGTGCAGGTAATACGCTTTTGTGTGGAAAGTTCCTGTGCTCTGGAGGAACAAACGTGGTTTGGAAGAGGGAGGCTAGTTGGATACACCCCGGGTTTGTGAGGGTAAAAGGGCCTGAGGTTCCTTGTACGTTGTCCACCCCAGTTCAAATGAAGAAAACCAGGCATTTCTGGGGTGAAAGATGCACTTTATTTGTCACCTTTTTTATTCCTTTGAAATTATTGACTAGTATGTGTCAAACCTTCACTGAGTTAAAAAATAAACATAAAGCTATAGTACATTTTTTTTCATATTTTGAAATTAGAAGATACCATAATATTAGAGAACCTGGGAATAATTAATAATAGAAGAGGTAATAGAACATAGGCAATAAACTGAAAAACAATAGCGAGAAAAAAGACCACATAAATTCAAGCTCTAAAAAATACACAGAAATTATGGAAAGAGCAACAGAAGTTTGTCTCTATTCCCAGAAATCCAAAGTTTCCTTTTAATACCAGGCCTAACAAATTCTAGCAAAGGGAGATTTGAAGGCAATTATAATAAACACTAACCATCTTTTCTCAGAATGATAAGGGTCTGTGATTGGAAATATTCTTAATTACAAAACTAATTCATGCTTTATATAGTAATTACACTAGGCAAAGACATGTAGAAAAAATTATGATTTCTCCTCAACCTCACTTTCTTCCCTGTCCCTGAGGTGTAATGTCCTCAGCCTGGTACTAGTTAAATACCATTGCCAGTGCTTATACCAATATATGAGGGGGGACTTCCCAAAAAAGGGAATTTATTTATAAAAAATTATGTATTTATTGTTACATGTTTAAATTTCAGTCACGTTCAAACTACTTTCCATTTGATGCAATACACCTATCAAGACTTTTTCGGGGACTTCTGGCAAGATGAAGGCATAGGTGGACACACCGTACCTCCACACACAACCAAGATTGGAAACAACAACAATTTAGAGGCAGAATAACACCCAGAACTGATAGAAAATTTAATCTGAATGGAAGTCGGACAGCCAAGAACTTGAAATAGACCCGTTTATCCAGACCAGTAGGAGGGGCAGAGACAAGCAGCCAGGTGTGGGTTGCTGGGCGGAGTACAGGCAGAATTGGGTGCAGAAGGCAACCGGGAGCACATAAGGCATCTGGGGAGCACAAGATCGCAGCAGGGCGGACCCTGAGTATGCAAGCGGCAGCTGGCGGACCCAGTGAGGCGGCGAGTGTGGAGCAGGGCAGAGCATGCAACCAAGGATACCGGGAAGGGACTGAACAGAGCTACCGCCATTGTTCCCTCCGCACCCTCACATACAACGTCACAATCTAGCGACTGGGGTGCCCAGCCCTGGTGAACACCTAAGGCTCCGCCCCTCACCCTACAGCAGGAGCGACCAGAACCCCCCTCTCCCCCAAAAAAGGGCTCAAACAGAAGAACAAATCAGTGCCCCAGAACTCATCCTTTTGAGTGACTAAGAGATAGTTAACCTATCAGATGCACAGTTCAAAACACTGGTAATCAGGAAGCTCACAGAATTGGTTGATTTTGGTCACAAATTAGATGAACAAATGCAGGTTACCATAAAAGAAATGAAGGAAAATGCACAGAGAACCAATAGTGAAGGGAAGGAAACTGGGACTCAAAACAATAGAGTGGACCAGAAGGAAGAAAGAAACCACCAAACAGGAAAGAATGGAGAAATAAGAATTACAAAAAATGAGGAGAAGCTTAGGAACCTCCAGGACATCTTTAAGCGTTCCAACATCCAAATTACAGGGGGTACCAGAAGGGGAAGAGATAGAGCAACAGATTGAAAACGTACTTGAACAAATAATAAAGGAGAAACTTCCCCATTCTGGCACAGAAAATAGACTTCCAGGAAGTCCAGGAAGCTCAGAGAGTCCCCAAAGAAGCTGGGACCCAAGAAGAAACACACCAAGGTACATCATAATTACATTAGCCAAGGTAAAAAATGAAGGAGAGAATCCTAGAAGCAGCAAGAGATAAGGAGATAGTAACCTACAAAGGAGTTCCCATCAGACTGTCAGCTGATTTCTCAAAAGAGACCTTACAGGCAAGAAGGGGCTGGAAAGAAGTATTCCAAGTCATGAAAGACAAGGACCTATATCCCAGATTACTCTATCCAGCAAAGCTTTCATTTAGAATGGAAGGGCAGATAAAGTGCTTCTCAGATAAGGTCAAGTTAAAGGAGTTCATCATCACCAAGCCCTTATTTTATGAAATGTTAAAGGGACTTATCTAAGAAAAGAAGATTAAAAAAAAACATGTATAGTAAAAGGACAGCAAACTCACAATTAACAATTATTAACAACCACACCTAAAGCAAAACCAAAAGAAACTAAGCAAACAACTAGAACAGGAACAGAACCACAGAAATGGAGATCACATGGAAGGGTTAGCAACAAGGGGAGTGGGAGGAGAGAGGGGGAAAAGATACAGAGAATAAGTAGAATAGATTGTAGGTAGGAAATAGACAGGGGGAGGGCAAGAATAGTACGAGAAATGTAGAAGCTGAAGAACTTATAAGCATGACCCATGGACATGAACTAAAGGTGGGGGGAAAGTGGGTGGGAGAGGGTATACAGGGTGGAGGGGAGTGAAGGAGGGAAATGGGGACAACTGTAATAGCATAATCAATAAAATATATTTAAAAAAAGGCTTTTTCCCCCACTCCTGAAAATAATTACTGAGCTCTTCAATTTTGATGTCTTCTCGTGCTTCTGCTATTTTTTTGTTTTACCTCTTCCACATCAGCAAAATCTTTCCCTTTGGAGGACTTTCTTTTCATCCAGGGAAACAAAAAAAAAGTTGCTTGGAGCAACATCTGGTGAATAGGGAAGGTGGGGGTAGAGGGGTCATGCCATTTTTGGTCAAACATTGCCGAACACTCAGCACAGTGTGGGCAGATGTGCTAAAAAATAATCACCTATCATGAAACGGGCAAATAAGTTAAGTCTCAAAAAAAATTCACTGAAGCTGAATGCAGCCTCTCACAACAGCAGCTGGTACACTGATACAGGTGGGTTTCTAGCACACTCACCTAGTGGGGGAAGCCTGTACTATAAGGGGCCCAGCCTCCAGAAGATAATTATGGTTTTTTAGGGGGTCCCTCCTCATACACATACAGTCATATATTTACAAAAACTGGAAAACATGCAAATGAATGGGCACAGTTATGTTCTAATAAAACTTTATTTAAAAAAAAATCAGGAGTGCATCAGATTTAGCCACAAGCCATCAAATTGACAAACTCTGCTATGAATCAATGAGGGAGAATTGTCATTTTAACAATATTTAGTCTTTTTATCCCATGAACATCATACATCACTCCATTTATTTAGGTATTATTTAATTTCTTTCAGGAAATGTATTGCAATTTTCAGTGCACAGATTTTACATTTATTTTAAAAGTTCAATTCCAAATACTTCATGGTTTTGGATGTTATTGCAAATGGTATTTAAAAATTTTTTATAGTTTAACCATTTATTTTTAGTATATAGAAATACAATTGAGCCCTGGCTGGTGTGGCTCAGTGGACTGAGTGCTGGCCTGTGAAGCAAGGGGGTCACTGGTCCTGTTCCCAGTCAAGGGCACATGCCTGGGTTGTGGGCCAGGTCCCCAGTAGGGGGGGACGTGTGAGAGGCAACCACACATTGATGTTTCTCTCCCTCTCTTTCTCCCTCCCTTCCCCTCTAAAAAATAAATAAATAAAATCTTAAAAAAAAAGAAATACAATTGATTTTTGGATTATTGTATATTGGCCTTGTATCCTACAACCTTGCTCAATTTACTTAGTAATTTTTTTTTAAGAATCTAGGAAATCTGTGGATATCCTGAACATTTAATCACAGAAGAATGGGAGTTGGGCTGAGGTAGAGTAGAAGAAAGTAACTAGTTGGAAATAAAGGATAATTAAGAGGCAGTGATAAAGCTGCACAAGTGTTAGTGGGAAAGAAACCTGTGTCTCAGGAAGACATCTCCCTCCCCCGCTGCCATTCTCCAACAACAGTATAAAGGAAGGGCCAAAACAGGACTGTGCAGGGGCTAGAAGTGGAGGATGGCGGCTCATCCTAGGGGCCAAGGGAACAGGTAATGTTCCTTGGTTATCAGATTGGTCCCAGAAAGCCAATTGCACAAAGGTGATAGAAAGTATGTTCACACATAATACAACATCAAGTACAAGCTCATGCCCCACACGGCCCTCCTGTACTTACAAAGCCCCGTGTATACTGATTCAGGCTATCCATAGCTGCAACCTTTGATAATTCTTCCTTCACATACTCAGGCGGGGAGATATCTGGAAGGCCTTGGCCAAGATTCACAACAGAGGGCTCTGCAGCCAACTTGGTAAATTCAATCCTAAAGATAAAAAAAATACTAATATTAATAGGCACTATAATTACAACACTACCTTTTTATACTTCATAATTTAATTATAAAGCTGCAAAAATAAGGCCTGCTGTAGTCCAACAGATTAAAAAAACATGAGTTATCAAAAAAATTTTACCATCTACAAAATGACTTCACTTAATGAAATGAGAGATGAACAAATAATGCTTCGTACAAATCTCAATTCTGTGACACCCAAATTTTAATCATAGATTTTTTTCTCAGTCACACCAGCCCTGGTATGTTCTCTAATGGACTGTTAGGGACGGAAGCTAATAGCAAGAGATTCGAAGCTAAGTTCCATGACGGCATCAGCCAAACTTTGTCTTTCCTCTGCCTATTTCCCATGACTAGCACAGGGCTCGGCACATTTGCTCAATGAACAAATCAGAGGATGGATCATTCCATTGACGGAAGTTATCCTTCCATTTCCACTTTAATGAATGAATTAAAATAAGGTGATTTGTTGATAGACCACAGACAAGGCTAAAAATTCCCCAGTCTGGATAGAACAATGTGCAGGACAAAAACTCGCCACGTGACTACTGCTGGTTCTCAGGTACTCACCACACGTTACTGTCAAGGCCTTCAATTCGTTTGGCATTTTTAAATTTCAAAGACATTCTCTGAAAGGTATAAATATTAAAAGAGTGTTTAAATTTCTTTAATCAAAGTTCAAAAATGCCAGAAAATCATGGGTAACTCTTCACCCTATTGTTGACCTGGAAAAAAAAAACAGCACCATAAATGTAGATGCTAGGCTTCAATAAAAAAATTCTGAAGAGGAATTCATCTCCTACCTACTGTGCCAAGGAATGCTTTTTCTTATAAATTTTAGATGTTTATCTTCTCACATAAGAACCAAAATATCATCCTCGTTTTAAAAAAAATAAATCAATTTAAAGACCTGAAATGTACCAAAGAGAATAATAATCATTAAAAAGTTTTAAAAATATTTTGAGTCTGAATGTCATTTTATGTAAGATTTACTAACAGTTTCTCCTATGGAATACAGGAAGCACTCAACAAATGCTTTTAAAAACACTTAATAAGGGGTTTCAAATAATGACAGTAATAGTAACAATAATAATAGCTAATATAATTGAGTACTAGGCATGTACCAGGCACAGTTCTATGTGTTTTTACATAATTAACTCACATAGTATTTGCAACTCCACATATGAGAAAATGAGGTACAGAGAAGAAAAAGATCACATAACTTTACACATCTGCCCAAATTTAGAAAAGCTAGTTACATTTAAACCCAACTGGATACAGCTCAGGATTTGAACCCAGGCAGTCTGATTCGAGAACACATACTCAGGACTATTCATAACAAGACCTTGTAAAAATATTTATTAGAATACTGCTTCTTAAAAAAATTTGTATCTGACATTAGATAAGTTCTACTTAACGTTAAGCAGGCTAGGGAACATCAAAGAAAAACACTCAAGGTCAAAATTATAGTACAGCATACAATTTTTTAGATTTTTAGATTCTAGAATTAAGTTCATATTATCTCACAAAAGGATTGAATTAGCTTTGAGTTCATGTTAACAAGCTGCTGGAAATAAAAAATATGATTGGCAGTGTATTTGTAAAGATTACCCTAATAGAATATTAAAGTAATTTTAATTCAATTTGTGGGGAAGATAATGATAATGGTTATTAAATAGATCATTGTTCTCATTCTATTCCCAATAATGAAGCCAAGAAAAATACCTTTTTACTCTCATGTTTTTTAATCTTTGAAGCTCCAGTGAGGTAAAGTCACATGCAAATTCTCCAGAGGTTAATGTGCCTTCCAGAACAGCATTATGATTAAGTACCCACTGGAACATGATGCTATTCTAGAGACTATAATTATAAAACTAAAATGTCCCAGAATGATAGATAGAAAAAGACAGTTTAACAATTGTCCTTTGCCATCTCTAAAAAATGTTTAAAACTTAATGATTCACTCAGTACGTGACTATAAACACAAAGTACAGATTCATATATTAAAAAGTAAGCACTGTCTGCAGCAGATAATTTTGACATAAAGTCTAATTTTAATTCAACTATTTAGATAATTGAGGGCAAACGCCTTCTCAGAGTTAATTTTCTTTAGAATGTGTGGCGAGAACAGCCTCCTCTAGCTACTCTCCCTACGTCCACTCCTTCCCTGACTCTGTGCCTCAACTATTGCCATAATTCAAATATTCCCTGTTCTCTCTCACTTCCATAGCTCCACATGTGATCACTCATCTGCCCAAACTGGTCTTTCCATGCCAATGTTTCTCCACATCTTTTTCATCAGTGCCCCCCACCCAAGGAGACAATTTAGATGTTTGTTCTAACCATCTCCCCTACTTCCTCACTGAGTATTAAGGAATACAATTTTGTCACATAGAGTTGAACTCTGCATGGTCACAACATTGTAATAGCTAAGGTTTATTTCACCTGTTGGGCACCAATTTTCTCCCCTTTGGAGCAATAATATCCCTGTGGAGAATACATGCTCTATACTCAGTCTAATCCCTGGCCCCCACTACCCCATCCCTGTACTTAGCCAATAACTCCTATTCCACCTGCCACCTTCAGTTCCCAAATTAGACTTCTTTCCTCAAGAAAGCCTTCTCTGACACCCCAAGTCAAGGTTAGGCACTCCTACTATTAAATGGAGTACTTCCCAGGATCTACTACATAACACTGTAACTTTTCTGCTTGTCTGTATCCTTCTTTAGACTGTAAGATCTATGAGAACTATTGCTAGATTGTTCACTGATGGGGGTATGTATTAATCAGGTTTCTCTAGAGAAACAGAATCAACAGGTCTGTCTGGAAAAAGTTCAACCACTGATAATATAACGAGAACAGTTTGTGCAACATCGATGTAACCTGGCAGCCAAGGAGAGTGGACTGGAATGTGCATGTGTGAACAATGACAACTTCACTGTACTACTCAATGGGAGTGGTATTTGCTGTTGAGTGAGCATGTGTACTGTGTGGCTATCACATTCAAAATGACTGAGTGAGTAGAGCAATGAGTCTGCATCAAATTTAGCATTAAGCTTGAACATTCTTCTGTGGAAACTATTTGGATGATTGCAGAAGGCCACAGCTGTGGGCAACTGGTGACTGGCAGCTTCATCACAACAACATGCACACACATGCATCACGTCTTGTGCAGTTTTGTGGCAAAACATCAAATCACCCAGGTGACTCAGCCCCCCACAGCCAAGATTTGGCATCCTGCAAATTCTGGATTTTCCCAAAACTAAAATCACTTTTGAAAGTGAAGAGATTTCAGACCGTTGATGAGATTCAGGAAAATACAAAGGGCAGCTGATGGCACATTGGGAGAACTGTGTGAGGTTCCAAAGTGCCTACTTCGAAGGGGACTGAGACATTACTGTCCTACATACAATGTTTCTTGTATCTCGTATCTCCTTCAATAAATATCTATTTTTCATATTACATGGCTGGATACCTTCTGGACCACCCTATGGGTTCTGTGTCTCTAGAAAACCAATACTAAGAAATTGGTTTATGCAATTTGTGGGGATTGGCAAGTTCTAAAGTCTGCTGAACAGTCTTGCAGGTTGGGGACCCATGGAGGAGTTGAGGCTGCAGCTTGAGTCTGAAGGGTAACTGCAGATGGAATTCCTTCTTCCTGGGGGGGGGGTGGAGGAGCAGACCTCAGTGTTTTGTGTCTTAAGGCCCTTCAACTGATTGGATCAGGCCCACCACATTATGGAAGGTAATCTGCTTTACTTAAAGTCTGCTGATTTAAATGTTAATTTCCTCTGAAAAAATACCTTCACAGAGACATATAACTGGTGTTTGAACAAATCTCTGGGTGCTGTGGCCTAGCTAATTTGACACATAAAATTAACTGTTACAGTGCCATCACAGTACTATGCCTGCCACATAGCATTTTTAACAAGTACCTAATAAATGAATGAAAAACCCATACATTAGGAGTGAGCTTATGGTGTTCCTTAGCTTCAATTAGGTACTTAGAGTGTCAGTTAGTTTAAGTTAATTCTTGTTTCAGTAACAAAGGACCCCAAGGTTGTGGTGGCTTAAGACCATAAAGATTTATTTCTTTTTCATGTACACATACACGAAGGTCAGCTGCTGCTCTGTTCCATGTCACTGTCACTCTGAGACACAGGCTGATGAAATAGCCTCTATCTGCAGTACTGCCAGTTTGATAGCAGAGGGAATAAAATTCTCACATTCTGCTCAGAGGTACACACATTACTTCTACTCACATTTTATTGGCCAAAGCAATTTCATGACTAACCCTGACACCAACATGGCAGAAATGAAGTCTGGAGTTATCATGAGATTGGTAGTTGTGGCGGATTAAATTGTATCTCCTGCAAACTTCATATATTAACATCTTAACACCAGTATATTAGTATGTGACTCATTTGGACATAGGTTCGTTGCAGTTGTTATAAACTAAGGTCATTAGGGTAGACCCTAACCCAGTGTGACTGATGTCCTTCCAGAAAGGGGAGATTTGGAGACTGACTGGCACACAGGGACAGTGCCCCATGAAGGTGAAGGTGGGGAGCGAGGTGATGCTTCTACAAGTCATGTGACACCAAAGATTGCCAGCAAACCACCAGAAGCAAGTGGAGAGGCAAAGAACAGAGTCTTCTTTACATTCCTCAGAAAGAGCCAACTCTGCCCAACACCTTGATCTTGGACGTCTAGCCTCCAAAGCAGTGAGTTAAAAAATTTCTGTTGTTTAAGCCACTTAGTCTAAGATGCTTTGTTAAGGAAGCCTGATGAAGTTAATACAGTGGTAAAAATGTGTAAGACACCCCACAATGTCAAAGACATCAAGATCTACCAGTAGGCACAAACACAGCCTAAGAATTACTTTCCAGAGTAAATCCAATATTAGGAAATTAAACCTGGAATCCTGTGGGGAATTATTTACGAGCCCCAGCTATATGATAGAATATCCATAAGGCCTGTATAATTTATGGACTAGATAATTCCATGAAGTGGATTCTGTTCCCAGACTAACACCTGGCATATACATACCGTTCTGCCATGTTATAAATACAAAGTGCCAGTGAAACAACAAGCATTTTTGGTGGGGGGGGGGCGGGGGGCTGAAATGCGCAGTTCTGTAAAATCAGCACTAGCTGCCAATCTTGGCAGACGTGAGGAAACCTTGTTGTTACCAAGTCTTTAACTGTTCACTGCAATGGTGCTGGGACAAGGAAGCTTGGAATGAAGAAAAAATATTACCTATTCTTTACGACCCGAGCACACTGGAGTTTACCTTATGTATATTTTGAGGGCTCTGCCTGTAAAACCTGATGCATTTAGGTAGGATAGAACAGGTATATGAAGTCTTCTCAAATGGTAGGTTGAAGTTGGGGAAATCAAGGCTGTTGATATCCAGGAAGAAGTGTTGGGAACCGCCCTGACTGGTATTAGAAGCTGAAACCCCCGCCTAGCTAAGGCTAAGGGAACGCCCTTGGAACCGTGAGCCGGCAAGGAGACAAAAGCTTATCTTCCTGGCAGGAATGCTGTTTCGGCTGCTGAACCCCAAAAAGCTTGGTCGGTTAGCCAAAGACGGGTAAGATTCCCCATGGGGGGAACAACCCAAGCCAGG